TCTAGACTGTATCTCGTTGGTGGTTTATTTTGCTGGATTAGGTTGAGAAGCTCTGCCTTAAACATTGTTGGTGTGAAATCTATGTTGTGTTGAGTCAACCATGTTAAAGTGTTAAAGTTAAAGTGTAAAAACCCAGAGGTTGGGGCAGATTCCCGAAAGGGTGACATGAGTCATAAACAAGCATCTGGCAACAAACACATTTCTCGATAAAGGAAAGAGAAAGCAAACCTCCTGCAACGTGTTTCCCTCTTACAAACCCCAAAACGCGACAATAAAAAGGTTTTACAAAAACACAAGTTCATTTCAGATCACTAGACTAATAATTCGTTTCTTTTAGACACCATGTTTCTCGTTCATACGATCGATTGATAGTCCAATTTATTTTGAGCGGGAGTTTTCATGACAAGATAACAAAGTTAAAAAGGTTTACACAATTTACGAGAAAATAGATCATAATGTTATATTTCTGAACACCACTTACCATCTTTTTTGTATTTTTGTCGTCTTGTGAGTAACAGTATAAGCGTAAATATATGTTTTAAGTGTTATAAGACGTATCTTTTATTTACTTTCCGTATATATATATTGTAATAATCGTATGGTTTTTAAATAACTCATATATTTTGAAATCGCAGATTTTTTAACTTTTTTATGATATAAATTTAACAAACTGTGTACAAATTTGAAACTTTGTAATATAACATTTGACAATACTTTCTTAAATTTGTAGGGTTCTCGTAAAAATTGAACGAACCGTTTTGAATGTGTGGGTGTGATACCGTAAACTCGAGTCTACACTATTTTTTCACGGGCAGTAGTTGTAGGAAACCTATGTTTTCAGGAAAGTACCCGCACTCCTCCCCGCGCCCATCCCATCGCCCGCCAATCCATCGGTCAAGATCTATGGCGACCCTTATAGCAAAGTTTTGAGAAATTGGTTGTGGGGTTACTGTTAACACGTAGAGTGCGACCGTTCCCAATCGGGTACGGCGCTTGGCCCCCGTACGGTGCGTCCGTACCCCATCGGGAACGCCCTCCATTTGGCAATACAATTCCAATGGGACTGGCTACGTTCCAAGCAGTGCTGCTATCTGTGGGTGTTTAGCGAACTACGTCGACTCTCGTTGTAAAGCAGGACATCCCCACACGTTATTTGCTATTTGTCAGACCAAAATTGGAAAGCCAATCACACACGGCAATCGGGTTTGCTCGACGCTGAGGGCTGCGCCGCACTGGGGATACGCCCACTATTTGACGTGCCGCAGCGAACGTGTTAAAGCTAATAAGACACTTCTGCACACTTGTATTATTTTGTATTGTATTACACAATCAAAGATTTTCCCAATGACTGAAAACATGTATGACAATAATCTCATGAGCTTATGATGATCTGTCTAGAATAATATGATAAAAAATAGCCAAAAGTGGTGAAAAAGGACGCCAACCCGTACAATAGATATAAGATAGTCTAATAAGATATAATTGTAAGAGTTACTGTGATAAAAGGATTTTCCACTGATTTCGTAATGGAACATTGGCTATTGCAAAACATGACATGATACAGAAGAAAATAAATTTTAAAATCAGAAAATAACATGCATTTGGACAATTCAGTAACTCCCAATAAATGTGTGTTGTTTAAAATACAATTCAAAAAATTAACAGCTGTTTCATTAAAAAGTATTATCCACATGACCAAAATGTAAACAAAAAATCTATGGAGGGATCTTTAAAGGCTTCTGGGGGAGAGCCCTAAGGGAATTTACTTCATTTTTCTTTTGATAACTCATCTACAGACCAAGACATTTCTTTTGACACCTCTACCAAGTTTCTACGCCCAGCCATTCTCTCAAATTAGTGGAGATAATGTTTCCAATTAAATATTTAGATTCCCCCATGTTAATCTTATGGGAGGAAACCCAACTTTGATGGAAGATCCTGCCCAAACTAATAAAGATTTAAAAAAATGAAAAACACTTTGCAAAACTACAGATCAGGGCCATTCCTATGACACTTTAACCATCAAAATCGGTCCAAAAATGAGCGTATTATATATATAGATTTCGTTACGTACAAATCTGCTTTTGCTAATCACCTCATTAATTTAAACCATAATTACACTGACATACACAATAATTTAGAAATCATGCATCCGTGCAATAAAGGCAAACACACTACTACTATAGATACTATAGAAGAATTTGAGATTTACAGAGCATCAAAACAACAACCCAACTATATATTAATCTAGCTGTACCCGCGGGCTTTGCCCCGTTTAACTTTATAAGTAAGCTCCTTCGCATGGCTCAATCACGTCCTGGTTGAAGTTCGTTCGCTACGCTCACTCACCTTTTGGTTGCAAATTAGCTGTTGTCATAAATGTAAAAGAAATAATAGTGCTGCACCCGGTTGGTAATCCTTGTAACTTTAATGCTATTGAACATTATGATGTTATACATGATGTTATGATGTGTGTTATGATGTTATGTGTTATGATGTAATGATGTTGACATTAGGTATTTACTCAGGGGAGGTATAGAAGAGGCTACGATGACAGCTGAGGGCTTCTTATTAGCTGAGGGAACGCCATTACCGTAACAAAACATTCACCAGCCATCGGCCTCGGTGGTCTATTGGTTAGCGTGTCGGGCTGATATACTGAAGGTCCCGGGTTCGATTCCCGCTGGTAGCATTAACTTTTTGTCCAAGATTTTTTTATTATCAGCAAGTTTGGTTGGTTTGGTTTGGTTATTACAGTTTAATTTTATTATTAAGTCATTATAAAATTTTAATTGAGCAATTTCTAGTTTTATTTAATAAACAGAATTATTTTTCCGATTACTAAACTTTTGTTATATTATTTCTTTATCAGCAAGTTTGGTTAGTTTGGTTAGGTTATGATAGTTAAATTTTATAATTAAAAAATAGTAAAATTGAATTTGAGGCATTTATAATTTTATTTTATGAACAGAACTATTTTTGCGATTAGTAAACCTTCATTGCCAAAGTGCTCTCTACTACAGCGCTGTTCACGGAGGAATTTTGAACTAAATGCCTCATTTGTACCTCCCCTAAGTCAGACCCTTGACATTATGTGTTCTATGGAACAGAACCAAACTTTTTTAATTGAAACAGCTGTTAAGAGTCATTAATTCCATATGAGTCATAAGGTTAACATAGGAAACTCCAGAGCCACTGGGGCGGAGCCCGAGAGTCAGATCAGAATAAAAACAGCATAGTTTTCCTATTTAATGCCTAAAGAATCAGTGTACCAAATTTCAGCCTCCTAGGTAAATGGGAAGTAAGAGAATTAGTGATGAGTGAGTGAGTCAGTCAGTCAGTGAGGGCTTTGCCTTTTATATATATAGATGAACAGCTGTCTTTCAAATTAAATATCATTTACAATACTGCCATCCACATTATCAACCAAAACAAAACAAACCAGAGCCAAGACAAGGGGTAAGAAGGGGAGGGGGTGCAACTCCCGACATGGGTCAGTCATGACTCATCATCTAACCTAACGGTTACCCACCTCGTGTTCGGACTACTTGGCCAAGTTTTTTGTTGTAAATACCTGAATGTCGTTTCGTATGTGCTTCGTGTTATGTATCCTAAATGTGCTGACGACCTCATTCACGGATGAGAAAACTGTATTTGAATGTTCTTCCAACCTGAAGATGTGCTTGCTAGCAGCACGAATCAGCTGAAGTTATTTTATTTATAACACAAGGATCAATTGATGCAACAGGTAAACTAAACCTTATATATTTTGCATTATCTTGATCTAGAGAAACCAGGACCCATCATGACATCTTGACCCATCATGATATCAAGGATTTTCATGGATAGAGGTAGATTGTCCCAAAGACGGTAGGCAGTTACAACAAAGGCCCAGCCATATGCTGTACTATGATGGGGTATGTGCAATGTGAAGTTGCAGTGCATGTAATTCTCAAACTAATTTCGGCTACAAAGCTATAGTTACTTTAACTACTCAACTACTTTTGGCAATATATTTTTTATTAATTGATAATCCTAACGAAGTTATTTTTATTAGCCTCAACCGATTTCTGCACAGAACTGTACAAACTATTGCTGAGTCTTTGACTCCAAGGTTACACATACCATATTGAGTCTTCTTAGACATAGTTTGGTTTTAATGGATGGAATAAGTATACAGTTATCATAGTTTGTTTTTAAAGAAAAGATTGTATTTAACGGAAGCTATACTAATGGAACGGAGTAAATATAAAACTGCAGTAGTTTTATACTAATTTTATATTTTATAAACGCTTGTAATTTGCTAGTTTTTGAACATTTTTTGATAAAATCTGGAAAGGTTATTGCATACAAAACTAATAAAATTTCACTAAAAACACTTTACCTTTCCTGTAGTAGCAAACCTATGTACTCATGAAATTATTGTTATTTAAATAGGGAGTAAATATGACATTTTTAAGAAGATATTTTAGTTCAAATCAAATCAGGCAAATAGAAATTTGCTTAGTGTAGGTTTGCTGCAAAGAGGGTATTTTTCCCTATGTTCACTTTAACTTAAATCAATTTCATTGAAACTCATTTTATGGTTTTAAGCCAAACTAATTCACAAAAACAGTCAAAAACGTTATTAAATTTTAAAACGGCAGAAAATTAGTGAAGTTTACAATTTCTACTGAGATTTTTATTAAATGATAAATAATAACGTTTATTTCATTTGTTTACATACAATAGTTATAGTACTTAAACATAACACTCTAGGTAGTTATTTTATACTTAGCTTAGTTTATATTGGAATATAATACTACTTCATAAGGTTTTTCTCTAATCTAATTTTTAGTGTTAAAATGCGAAATAACTGCCAAGAAGAATAATTTACGCAAAGATAATGTCAAAAGTAACAAAGGTACCTTCAGCAAAGAGGGCCCTCCAATCTGATGTTTAATGTTAAAATGCAAAATAACTGCCAAGAAGAATAATTTACGCAAAGATAGTGTCAAAAGTTACAGAGATACCTTCAGCAAAGAGGGCCCTCCAATCTGATGTTTAATGTTAAAATGGAAAATAACTGCCAAGAAGAATGATATAGGGAAAGATAAAGTCAAAAGTTACAGAGATACCTTCAGCAAAGTGGGCTGTGGAAAGAGAACTCTTACTTGGAGAGTTTGTGGGAGAGGAATGATAACATGGGAGAATCAAAGTATAGCCCAGTCCCAGTGGAGTTAGTCACCATGACAGCTGGCTCTAGCAGAGCTCATCTCTACCAGTCTGCATTTATTTGTAAGTGTCTATTTACTTATTGTTGGTCTGGAAGAAGTTTGTGTGTTGTTTCAAACTAATTTACTTAAACTTCTTTTACTTCTTATACTTGTAATATAATACTAATACTATAGTACTTATAATATAATAATATTTATTCTTCGTTATTTATAATCCCTTACTTAAAAATTTACAATTAATCACAACTATCCTACATGAGTGATTGTCAATTTTAAATAAGGTTATACATATTAATTAATTTATTGGTGTAAATCCTAATCACTGTAATGAAAATTTGGAACTTTTCACGTTTTTAAGAGAAGAAGTAGGCATTTGTGTATTTATTTATTACAATAACAGAACAAATATTTAGACTGTATTATGGCAGAGTATTATGAGAAAATACTGAAATCAGTAACAATGTTTAAGAAAGGTTATGCTGTGGGGTTTCTCACATGTTAGTAGTACCTTTGACTATTGGTACAACTATTGATACAGTGTACAATAGTCAATGGTAGTACTTTCAGCAGCCCTAAATAGTGAACTTTGCTCAGCACAATATTTATTCATACATTTAAGGAAGTTCAGGGTTGGATAATAAACCACCAGGTCAGAGTTAAGCTGGGTTTTCCTAGGCGCGGGAGCGGAGCGCTGAGAGAGGAACGCGGAGAGCGGACTCCTCTTGTCTTAGGTAATTTAATGTTACTGTTCTCCTAGAAGCGGAGCGGAATGCCATGTTAATCGCTTTTCCGCTCTCTGCTCTCCGTTCTCCTCTTCCGCGTCTAGGAAAACCCGGCTTTAGATAACCGTATTGACCACGTTTTTGCCAACAATGGAAGCCATGTTGAAATTTTTAATTAGACTTATATCCAGAAAACTTAAGAATTTTGTGTTACTTTACACTTAATACAATTTTTATAAACTTGTTATTTAAATATTTACACTGCAACTTAGTTGTTCGTTCAGTTTCATTTGGGACAACCTGTAGAAGTTAAAGTAAATTAGTTTGAAACAACACACAAACTTCTACTACGTCAATATTAAATAGGCTACCCCCGTCACAGCAAACGTGCTATCTAAGCGAATTTCCATCAACATGGCTAAATTTTCACTAAAATGTCCCCTATAAATTGTCAGATTTATGTCCTATTTAAAAAACATAAATTTTTAATGAGTAGTTAGGTTTTTTGCTACAAGTAATGAGGTGTGTTTTTATTAAAATGTTGAGAGCTAGTATGAAATTTAAAAAAATTGCCAAATTTGTTCAAAATACAGGGTGATTGATATAAGTGTGCCAGCTATTTAATTCAAGAGTTATAAGAGATATAACAAAAGGTTAAATTGTAACTGCCTTGGATTTTTAATTTTAAAAACTTTGGTCAAGTTAAAAAAATAATTTTAGCCGCCATTTTTCCAATATGGCCGCCAACTTTGATTTTTCTTATGGAAGACCCTATATTTTATGATTGTTTTAGAAAGTAAATGCAATTTAATGTTTATATTTACGTTTATATTAAACGTTTTTATTTTTGGCATTTTTAAAAAAGTCTTAAAATTGCATCTAGATTTTAAAAAGAACATAAAATGTTCAAGTAATTCAAGAAAAAATACCAATTATTGGTGCATTTTAAATAAATCATAGAAATAATAAAAATAATAAAAAATTACCACTCATTCATGAAATACCAATCTAAGTATATTATTAATACGCTACATGAAACTTTGTAAACAATAATGTTTTTTTTTTTTTTAAGATCTAACCCCTCATATTATCTACAGGGTGTCCCACGTAAGGTGTCTCAAATTGATTACGGAAAAACGGCTTAACGTAAAAGGACGAAATGAAATTAATTCCCACTAAAACGACCCCAAAGTAAAAATATTTTTAACTTTTTCCTATACAGGGTGTGCCAAAAACTGAGGGTCACTAGTTCGAATCTCGGAGTTTTTAAATGTAAACATATGTCATGTTATACATAATTTTAAAGGTGTTTATTAGACAAACATTTTGGCGAAAACAGAAATTAATTGAGCGGAGCGAAGCGAAGCTCTTATACTACACTCCTGTTTTTGTTTTACAAATACTCCTCCTGAACGGCTGAAGCGATCTGCACGAAATTTTGCACAGTCATAGTAAGCAACCATGGGAAAGTATGGATCTGAATTGGTACAAATTGAACCACAAGGCTTTCCCATACGTGAAGTTAAACTTTTGGAAATATAACATGGGCTTTATGGGTTAATTGGTTGCCATGACATTATTTGCGAGATAACAATAAAAACGTAAACAAGAGTTGCAACTTATGTTTTTTTTTATTTTTTATTGGTGGGTGGAATGCGTTAGGCACTTCCCGATACTTTGAGCGCACCTCCTAGAGCGCCCGACGTGCCGGGGGAGTGTGGGACTCCTACAGGTTGGCCTGTAGTATACCCACTAAACCACCTACCCTGTCCATGAGCTCGGGAGAGCGGTCGCACTTAGTATGTTGTTGCTGGGCTGCTTGAAGGTCTTGCTGGGGTTGTCATCTCTAGAAGGGGTCTCTCAGGTGGGGCGTCGTGCTCCGCTGATTCTGGGGGTCGGCTTCTTGAAGTTGCGCAGCGCGACCTCGAGGCCCGCAGTTCGATGCTACACTCTCATCGCTCAACAACATATGTTAGTTAACGAATCATCTAAATAGCACATTACTAATACTGTACAGAGAAAAAGGGAAGAACAATCGGATTAATATCATTGAGCATAATTTACTACAAAATGAACAACCAATAATTATGGAAACCAGAATAAGGCTGATGCACCATTGACTTTAAATAATCCAAATAGACTTTCCATTATCATTCATGTGAACTAAACGTACCAATTAATACTGCAGACTTGGTACTGCAATTAGGAATTCCATTAATGTGAACCAAAGATACCACTGAGTTTGGATACTGCAAGTAGACATTCTATTGACGTGAACCAGACGTACCATTGACTTTGGATGCTGCAAATAGGCACTCCATTTATGTGAATCAAATGAACGATTGCATTGGGTCCTGCATGTCTATATCTCATTTACGAGAAACATATGTAGCATTGACTTTAGAAAAGTGTTGGATTATAATCAGCTAGCTCCTGCAAGTATACAATTCATTATACGTGAACCAAATGTGCCACTGAGTTTGGATAATACAAATAGACAGTCCATTTAAGTGAACCAGAAGTAAGCCTACCATTGACTTTGGATACTGCGAATATGCATCTTATTTATGTGAACCAAATAGACCAGGACCATTGACTTTGGATTCTGCAAGTAAACAATTCGTTTACATGAACTATAGGTGTACTGGATATAGACTGGATAGACTGGATAGACTGGATATAGGCATTTTATTTAAGCGAACCAAATGTATCATTGATATTGGATACTGCAAGTAGACTTTTGACTAGATGAAACATAGACTTTGGTTCCTGCAAGTAGACAATTCATTTACCTGAACCAAACTTATAATTGAGAATACTGCAAATAGACATTCTATTTATATAAACCAAATATACCATTGACATTGGAAACTGCAAGTATTTAATCTCATTTACGAGAAACAGATGTAGCAAGGAGTTTATAAAAGTATTGGATTAATATGCTTGCTCCGCTCAATATTGCAAGCAGACAACTGCATTGTATGTATACCTAGATATCTTATTCCGTTTCAAAATGGCGGCAGTTTTTTTTTTGAAAAAATCAATATGTTTTTAATAATCTGTGTTTCCTATATCAATGCACCTAGCCCTTGCAAACTGACCTTACATTTTTGAAAAAGTCCCTTGGGCTCTGTCCCAGTGGCTTTAAAGTTCATCTGTTCATCCATGTTATCTGTATGAAGAACACATAATGTATTGGTTTACATTATGATCAGCTGGATAATTTAATTGCTGTTAATATTTTAGTTGCAAATTAAGGAAATGTTACAAACATTTACTGTCTTGGTTTAAATTAAATATTTACTATTTGAATTTGGGTTGGCGTAAATATTACAATGGAAAAAAACGAGAAAGCCTGGACAATTTCATATGCTAAAAAGAAAAATGAATTAACACTGTACTTGCATCTCTTAAGAGTAATCATTGAAAGAGCTGATTTGCAAACTATGGAAACTTAGGAAAGTCATAGAACACCACCAAGGAGAAGAAATAGAAATAATGTTTTTTTTTAGAATTTATAATTCTTATTATGGACAACCTAGTGCGGCAATAAGTAGGAACAATTTGTAGAAAACACTAAAAACAAGATCAGCTTTTGAAAAATGACAAGATATTTACAAGAAATTTTGATTTTTATCAAACTGTTATGTACATCGTGAGTATTTCCATACTCTTTGAGTTGACTCTTTTAAAGTCACCGTAAATTATGACAGTTATTTTTTTTTAATAACGCCTGTAATACTTCGCAATTGCTCGATTTCGCAACAGGTACACTATTGCTTATTTATTTATATACAGAATCAGGGTCGTACTGGTATTTAAGTATCTGCTGCCTCTATGCAACGAAGTTTACTGCCCCCCCCCCCTCAACAACTTGTCAGCGCACTCCCCGACCTCACTAATATCACCCCAATGGCCAATACATGCCCTGTCAGCTGATTTTGTAGAAAAATAATTGGCAATATTGCATGCTACATTAACAAATTTAATAACTTTTTGAGCCCTTTTAACAGACGTTTTTTGCGCCGTTTTAATGGAAAACGTGATTCTGACTTGGATACATGAAATGCAACCCTATTTTTATCCAATCAGTAATTATAATCAGGTTGTGCGGCGTGAAACGGCATACAAAATCGTCTGTATACTAGGGCTCTTATAAGGCTTTTCATTGAACACTTTTGGTCAGATCCACTTTAGAGACATGCTATTGGCTTTGAAGTGAAACAAATATGTTTACTTATAGAACTGTTCATAAAAAAACACATTAATCGAAACGAAAAAAGTACGTACTTTTACTTGAAAGAATATGCAATTTTAAATGAGTTAAGTTGGTACAATAGTAAGTATTTTGTTCACACTTTCCTTTTTTCAACTTTTCAACCTTTCAGCTAGTGCTGCCAGTGGGTAAAGGCGTATGAAGAGTAAACAGGGGAAGTGTTTTCTTCATTCGCCACTACGCTCCCGCAGCGCGCGTGTCCGCCGGACCAATAAATAGGGCAGCACGGAAAACTCAGCACAGCTGTGTAATAAACTACCTATTGACTTAAATATGTGCTGAAATAATTGTATACTTAATTAAAATATTTCAAATGGCTGTTTTGCTGTTCTCAGAATTATTTGCTAAACGTTTATTTTTTTAGATTAAAACCTCCCTTTTTAATTTTTTACCCCCAAAATTTTGCCGACCCTAAAATGTGCCTAGTCCGCCTATTTGGAAATATGTCTCTGTAGATACAGAATATCATTAAATCATTCATTAGTGACAGAAATTCAGTGAAAATCATAATATTTGAAACAAATTAATCATTTTAAAAAGAGAAACATCAGTAGTTCTCAAATGTTTTGATGATTACAAAGGGCCAGGAAACAATAGGCGTATAATATATGAGTGATTATAAAAATGCCCTTGTTTCACTGCTTATTAGGCATTTTGGAAATTGACAATAACATGACCAAAAATGTTCCCTCCGTAGCAAACCTAAGCATGACCAAGCAAATTTTCTTCTACCTGTATTCTCACAGAAATATTTCCTTAAAATTTTCAGATTTATTTTTTATTTAAATACCATTTATTTTAATGGGTTCTTGGGTTTGTTGCACAGGGGAGGTAATAAGATGTGTTTTTTTTATTGAAATGTCTTCATAGCTTAATATAAAATAAACAAATTTGCCAAATTTGATAAAAATAAATCCCTAAGCCAGCATACTACAACATTGAGAAGAATAACACAGATATTTAACATTTACAGTTTTTTTTTAAATTTCTATATTAAGGTAATAACTTCATGGGAAATTCACTAAAACCTGAAAGGTAGCAGTGTTTTTAGTGCTCTGAAATGGGATAGTTTTTTGTTACTAAAATTGTATGGACACTATGACTATCCAGTAGACTATGATGATGGGCTCTATACAACAATTTTATCTGATATTATTCCACATTGTATAAAACATGTATTCAACAAAGCACTTTTATACAGTATCAACCTATCCTATCAAGTAGAAAGTAATTTAATTTGTTTGCACTTTAACATAACAATAACATGAGCTGGATTTCTATAAACCTTTCCCTGCTATACAATTTACTAAGACCCCTAACAAATTCTATAGAAAAGTTCATAACATGTATGAACCTAATAATAATAAACTTACCCTATTTAATATGGAATATTGGGGAAAATATTTTCAAAGTTCTTTGAATTTAAGGTGTTTTGTGCAATGTTAATTTCCACTAGTTCATGTAACAGTATGTTTAATGTTACACAAGGTTTATTTATGGCAAATAGAGATAACATGGGCTTGTTTGTTTAGGTTCTTATTCAAAATTTACTTATCTTCTCTCAACGACTGTAATTGTTGTCACTACAAGACCATTGTTGAGCTACTCCAAAAGAATATTTGAAAACATTTTACTGGAAACTCTATTAATTTGTAATAGTGTGGCCAATTTATGAGATTGTTTTATTATTTATCTTTGCTTATCTTCATTAATACTTTTATTGCATTAAATTAATTAACAGCCTACTATAAGATTTTTCCAAACACAAACATTGGATTTACATAAATTTATCAAGAAAAAAATCGAAATGGGATATACCTTAGGGTTCTTTCCTGGCCCCTTATTGTTTACAGTTTATATAAATGATTTGCCATAATCTTAAATAAAAAATCTATTTTATATGCAGAATAGCTGCTGTACCCGTGCTTCGCAACAGGAAGATGTACTATACTGCCTAATCCAAACACTTGTTAAGTAGTTCAAATTTATAAACAAAAACTACCAAATTTATACAATACCCCCGACGCAGCAAACCTGCAGACTAAGTGAATTTCCATTTGCATGATTGGATTTATTCTAAAATATCTCCTTAAAAATATCACATTTATTCCCCATTTAAATAGCATTGGTTTAACGAGTACTTGCAACGAGGTTTGCTGCAACAGGGGGGGTAAAAAGTGTTTTTTTGTGAAATGTTAATAGTTTAGTATTAAATAATACATTTTCCAAATTTGATCAAAATATGTTCATAAACAAGCAACAGTTTACTTATTCTCCATAAAAATAACATGGGAATTTTAAATTTATTTTTTTTAATTTTCTTTGTAACAATTAGGTGCGTAATAAAGCTTCAATATACTAAATTTTTTGTTTTTAGCGAATTTCCCATATTATGAGAATGTTTATTATGGATAACGTGATAAGCTATTACGGATATAACGGAATAAGCTATTAATGGAATAAGCTATTACCGTAGTACTCATGGTAAGACCTGGATCAGGGACCGATTTATTTTTTTGTTTTGAGGTCCCTAGAGGCCAAAAACACGCATCCGTTCAAATTCATATATATATATACTCACCCTGTATATGTGTCCGTTAGCACGATAACTCGAGCAAAAATGATCCAATTTTGATGAAATTTGGTACAAACGTGTTTAAAACGACATTTATTGGAACGAGTTCGCGAACCAGCATGATCGGACTATGGGAACGGGGGTTTATGGGGGTTTTAGCGAATTTCCCTATAGGGAAGTAGCTATTACCGTAGGTGGCACGGTAAGACCTAGACCCGGGACCGATTTACTTTTTCATTTTGATGTCCCCAGAGGCCAAAAACACCATTCGTTCAAACTTTTATATATGTATATATACGTCCGTGAACGCGATAACTTGAGTAATTTTTGTCCGATTTTGATTAAATTTGGTTTAAAGGTGTAAAGCGGGATAAACTTGAATGAGTTCGCGAACCAGCATGATCGGACCATGGGAACGGGGCTTTACGGGGGGTTTTATGGGGTAAAAATTGGTTTTTCTCACTTTTGACCCTCAAAACACAAAATTTCCCAATTTCTCTTTAGACCTTTTTAAAGAGCTTAAAAAAACAAATAATTTAGTATATAAAAGTATTTTTGTTCAATTATTAGTAACGGAGAAAATTAAAAAAATTGTAAATTTAAAATTCCCATGTTATTCTTATGGAGAATATTGTCAAATGTTGTAGTTTGCTTGTTTATGGATATATTTTGATCAAACTTGGCAAATTTATTTATTTTGTACTAAGCTATCAATATTTTACTCAAAAACACACTTTATTAGTTTCCTTGTAGCAGCAAACCTAGGTACTCGTTAAACCTAATGTTATTAAAATATATTCAACTGAAAATCAATTCAGACAAATGGAAATTTGCTTAGTCGGCAGGTTTGCTGCGGCGGGGGTATTTATGGGGTAAAAATAGGTTTTCCCATTTTTGACCCATAAACACAACATTTTACAATTTATTTTCAAACTATTTTCTAGATCTTAAAAAAAACAAATAATTTAGTATATTGAAGCGTTATTGTGCGCCTAATGGTTACGGAAAAAATTCCAAAAAACTGTAAATTTAAAATCACCATGTTATTCTTATAGAGAGTAAGTCAACTATTGTAGTTTGCTTGTTTATGAACATATTTTGATTGAATTTGGAAAGTACATTCATTTCTTACTAAACTATTACCATTAAAAAACCCACCTTCTTACCCTCCCTGTTGCAGCAAACCTAAGTACTCGTTAAACTAATTCTATTTAAATAGGGAATAAAATATGATATTTTTAAGGAGGCATTTTAGTGTAAATCCCATCAGGCTAATGGAAATTCGCTTAGTCTGCAGGTTTGCTGCGGCGGGGGGGATTTAAGTTCTACAAAATGGTTTTAGAGAAATTGCAAAATTGTATGTTTTTAGGGTCAAAAATGGGAAAACCCTATTTTTACCCCATAAAACCCCCCATAAACCCCCGTTCCCATAGTCTGATCATGCTGGTACTCGTCCGAATAAATGTTGGTTCACACGTTTATACCAAATTTCATCAAAATCGGATAATTTATTCTCGAGTTATCGTACTAACGGACACATATACATATATGAATTTGAACGGATGGTGTTTTTGGCCTCTGGGGACCTCAAAATGATAAAGTAAATCGGTCCCAGGTCCAGGTCTTATCATGAGTACTACGGTAATAGCTTATTCTGTAATTTTATTCATGTTGTGACAGAAGTCTCGTGCTGTTCCAGTAGCAATGTCCAATCCAATTCCTTGGTCCTTGCAGTGAATAGTAGTGATCGATTATTTTATCGGAAAGGTGCAGTACTCTATGTATTTCTTGGTCATTTAATTTTTTATATCTAAATTTTAAATTTTTTTATTTGTTAACATTTTTTTTATAAGCCCAAACTTATAAATTTGAAGTCCTAGTAGTCAAAGACTATATAAAGGCTTTAAAAGTTTTGTATTATTACTGATAATCTGATGCTAGTGAACCTGATCTACCTGATGTGTGGGACAATGTTTGCCTGGTCCTCTCCAATTCTGGTAAAGTTGTCGCACCTGGATGACGCTGAGGGAAGCGTGGTGACATCCATGCTAGCTCTAGGCAGTGTGCTGGGTCCAGTGGTGTGTGGTGCAGTGGCAGACCTGCTGGGACACAAGGGCTCTGTAGTGCTCTGCATGACGCTCATGACACTCTCCTGGCTGCTGCTGACGCTCTTCCCAGGTCTGGTGATGCTGAGTGTCGGCCGCTTCATTGCGGGTGTCTCTGTAGGGATAGCATTCACTGCTCTTCCGACTTATATAGCAGAGATATCTGAGGTAAACTATAGAGCAAGTAGTAGTCCAACAAATTTTAACTTAACAAATTGTTATTTACTTGGATACTCGGAGTATTCCCACTGGTATCCAGGGCCGTATTTCTAAATAGGCTAAGTAGGCTGCAGCCTAGAGCGGCAAAATTTAGGGGCGGCAGATTTAAAAAATTAAAATAATTTTTTTTACATGCAATATTATTTTCCTTAAAAATTCAAGTATACATGTCATTTAAATAAAGCTTTTAGAATATTCATACATTATTATTTTCTATTTCGACATACGTATTATTACACAATCTAATATGTACAATCGCATTGCGCCAACACGCAGCGAGCGGCGATCTGGTGTTGGCAACACTGGAAGCTGGCGACTCTCAGCGGGCTGCAGCTGGTGGAAGTACGACCAGGAGCGGCAGCCACGACGCCGACGTGACAGCCGACAGCCCCCTCCCAACCACTGACACTTACACTACCATACAGTCAGTCGGTGTACACAATAAATTAAAATTAGTTATCAGTTTTGTTAATTGCTCAATGAAATACTTGTATTGGACTATACACGAAGTTTTTTTGTCGTTGTAAATATTTCAACTAATAAACCAGTGATTCAAATAATTTCGTCAACTTAAATTTCACCTTGCAGAACTATCTAAATTTAATTTAACAATTTTCCAGTATTAAAAGATATTCAATAGCACAGAAATGTATACATTTCTTATATATAAGAATGATCTCAAATGTATTTTATTTGACGTAACATTAACATTATAAATCCAAAAATTTATGATACATGTTATTTTGTATAGTATACAGGTGGAGTTGATTGGTATGATTGAGTGGAATGAATGTATTCGTAGGTTATATTTTATGTTTGCACGTGTATTTTCGATCGCCGACTACCGAGCGGTAGGCTACTGTGCAGATCGGCAAAAATTAGTCTGTGCGCATGAATAACCAAATATTACCACGAGGTAGAGCGGGGGTAATTTTCCTATAAATATGTTTTCAGCAGTAAATATATACATATATAAGGGGCGGCATGAGGACTTGTAGCCTACAGGTGGCATAAAGGTAAATCCGGCCCTGCTGGTATCGCATCAGCGACGTGGTCATCAGGTTTTTTACTTTTCTTGCTATTAACATACATGTATGGATTCATTTCCTCTTCAGGGATGCACATGGCCTAGACATATATTTCATCAATATTTAATGTGTCTAAATAATTATGTAACCATTATGTACCTATTATGTACATAATGTACATTATGTGTGTATTATGTACCTTCAAGGGGTTAAAATATCAAAATACAAGATTAGAACATGATCTATTTTGAAGTTTTTACATTTGCAAATAAATTTAGCATTCAAATAATATAATTTTCGCCATACTGCAGCAAAACAGCTGGTTTTTTTACTCCCTAGGGCTAGCTGTTTTTAACAGTTGTAAACTTTGATTGTAAGCAATCGCATGAATCAAAATTATTTATCAATTCATTTAATTGGTTGTAGCTTATTTTTGCATATTAGTCAATACTTTGACATACGGTATCTATAGTACACCGTGTCCCGAAAAAAACTGAACAATTTCAAATTGTTATATAATACGTCCAGGCATACCTAGTCTACTTTGAAGGTGATCATATGACAACTGAGCTCATGAAGTTTTGTTCAATATCAATTGTAGCTATCACCCGATTCATTGTTGTCGCTTGAAACTTGAAATTTAAAAACATTGCCCTGTCATTAAGCAGGCACCATGAACGCACGAGAGAAAGCGCAATGCGTTGAGTGGTACATTCAAAGTAAGTCAGATATTGCAGTGCAAAGAACATTTAGAAGATGCTATGGTCAACGTCCTTTATCACGGAACAGCATTCGAGCCTGGTATGACAAATTTATAGTAACTGGAAGCTTACAACATTTAAAAGGTAAAGGTAGGCCGAAAATCCAAAATTAATTGATCGAAAACGTGCAACAATTATTTCTTCACGACCCTCAAAAGTCTGTTCGCTGTGCAGCATGTGAGTTAAATTTGTCAAAATTATAAGTTTATAAGACAGAAGTTTCCGATGTCCGAGAATTGAGGCAAAGAATAAATGCAGCCTTTACTAACATTACTGACGAAATGCGCCATAGAGTGTGGGCTGAATTGGACAGCCGTATTGACTATCTTTTTGCCAACAATGGCAACCATGTTGAAAATCATTAACACATATGATATCAAACAAAACTTAAGACTATTTGTGTCAGTTAAAATGTAATTAGTTTATCGTGTGATTGTTAATAAACTCTTTATAAGTAAATAAAATTGTTCAGTTTTTTTTTGGGACACGGTGTATAATATAGGTTGTTTATAAAAAAACTTTACAACTTCAAACAACCATAAAACCTTTATCTTTCCACTTAAAGCTATGAAATAGCAATCAAAGTTTAGAAAATAATTTCAAGTTTTGGTACATAATAAGGAGTTTACCTAACTTCAACGTGCTTTCCATTATTTGCACGCAAATAATCAAGTCTAAAATCCAGTTAATAAAAAACACAACCTAAAATAAGACAGTTTATTCCAGCAAACGCTCTCCTTATTATTTCTCCGAGTTCTTCTTTATTGTTCCCTTTATTGACGTAGACATGATCCTTAATGAAGGACCAAAAAAGTCACACGGGGTAATATCTGGTGACCTAGGAGCGGACCTAGGAGGACAGGATGTTGGAACATCACAGCCAATCCAACGGTTTGGAAATAACCTAAGTAACTACAAAAAAAGTACTATCTCGAAAAAAGTCTCTTCAGTGTGGAGGAGCACAGTACATGGAGTCTTCAGTCTTGAAGGAGGATTCCTATTGTATCTTGTCTAAAATCTCCATTAATCAACAACATCAGACTTGGTTTCAATGGGTCACTCCTCCCACTGCACCTTAATACGAGATTTCATTGCGATTCTAACAAGACTCATAAATTGTTTGTTATCGTTTACCAAGCGACAATATAAACCAATCAGCTGATAAAACTGCTATTGATTAAAACTTTTTTAGCCACTCTTTCATGGGGTGTTTTTAGAAAACTGTTATGTCAAATGGAAAGAGAATGGGAGAGCGTCAAAGTTGTAAAGTTTTTTTATAAACACCCTGTATAGTAAAACAACCGTAATAGACAAAATGGTCCACTTTCTAAACACCAGTTTGTTAATTAATGTTGAATTATAACAAAAAAATAGTTCATTTCACGGGTAAAAACTCTCTTATAAATCCCCGCTCATATTCTGACCGAGGCTTCGGGTTGAAAAGAGTTATATACGCCCTATTGATGAAATATACTATTATCTTTTTGTATGTCAGCTGAATTAGCTGTGAATCACACCTGTGGTAGTCCAGTGATTTAGTGCCATGCATAGTAACATGTGCAGGTTAAAGAGTATGCCACAGATTCAAACATAGTCTCTTAAGCTTCCAGATACCTTACCTCTTATCAAGAGTTGGTCAAAAGTACATTAAATGAGGCAATTGACAATACTTGATTAAGACAATAATAGGTTTTTACATACCTCCGTCAAATAGTCCAACGATTAATATTGCTCATCAGCTTCGTTGCGAAGACAACATTTTCACAGCTTGCAACTCGTCAAAAACACAATTAATACATCTTCAATTATTCTCCCAAGTGGAGGTGTTTAGGGATAATCTAAGCAAAACTACGACGAAAAACGAATTTAAACTACAGTATAGAATAATCAAATGTATTTCTCATTAATGTTTTCATGACAAGGAACAATATTGGACAACAAAACAGACAGCTGATAGTAAAAATAACATTCATATCATCTGCATGACTATTACAAATAAATAGAAAAGGCACGCATTTTCAACAATACACTGGCCACACGAACACAAAAAACATTAAAATGGTACGAATACACATTAAAACATTTAGATAGCACTATCATAATACTGATTTAGTCCGGCGCAGCGTGGGGTTGGTAGCAGACTGGAGGTCTTCATCATGTCCTCTCCTCTACTGTTATCACTGATGTTATCAGATCTTTGATCAGCTGTTCTTGTGTTTATGATTGTATGGAAAATCAGGTGAGACCGGAACTGTAATTTTTCGTTAAGGATGTGGTCCTTACACTGTTCGTCATTATAAATTTTATAAATCTCTAACTCCTCCAAGGTGTCAAGTTTGCTACCTTTCCCACAGACATGTAAAATTTCTAAACCTTCGTCAATGCTGCTCATTGAGTGATTTGAGTGGACCAGGTGTTTGGCGAAGGCTGATTTTCGTTTGATCATTTTTGGAGTTGGCCTGTATTCCCTGATGGTTCCCTGTAGCGTGTTTCAAACGCTCGACCCGTCTGGCTTATATATTTGCATGGGCAATCTGGGCAACTGATCTTGTAAACATCAGTATTGTTTACTTTATTGCTGGACACTTTATTGTTGTGCAAAATGTTCCTAGTGCGGTTGGTGGTTCGGAACGTTAAGTCGATGCCTTGCCTATTTTGTCTTTTTTAAGACTGTTTTCAATAAAGTGGCTGTAGTCCAAGCAAACGTATTTTCTCTCACCCTTGTATTGTTTAGTATCTTGCTTTCTTTTTTTCTTACATTTGTTGATAATCTGTCTACCAAATTGTGTTTGTACCCATTAGCTGATGCTATAAATTTCATTAATGAGCATTCTTTGTTATAATTTCCAGGACCTAATGGAACAGTTAACATTCTGTTGATCATGGAGTTGTAGGCTATTTTTGCAAAAACGGATGGTAGGATGTGGAGTGAGTTGTTTGAGTTGAAGTAGTTGGTTTTCTGTAAATGCTAAAATCAAATTTGTTGTTATTCTTCGTGATTATGAGGTCTAGGAAAATTATTCTATTGTCTGGCTCAATTTCTAAAGTAATAAACATTAATTTGGGTGTGATTTTATTCAGATAGTTGAGTAGGAGGTTTAATTGCCTGTTTGTTGTTGCCATCGAATAAGACAATGGTGTCATCCACATGTGTGAAATACATTCTGATTTTATTTTTGTAAGCGTTTTTATCACAGAAAATGTGGGTTTTCTCAATATGGTTTAAATATATATCAGCCATAATACCTGATAATGGGGATCCCATTGCCAGTCCCTCATTCTGAACATAATATTTATCATTGAACTTAAATAGTTATGGTGTAAGACTTCAGTTAATAAGGCCATTGGTTCATCCAACGCCTCTGGTAAAAGATTTTATTTTCAGTAAAGTTATATTATCGCTGGACTATTTGACGGAGGTATGTGAAAACCTATTATTGTCTTAACAATATAGTCCAGGGGCCAGAAACATGAATTTTGACTAGGTACTTGATTGCCATTACTATACAGTAAACTGCTGGAGCGTGGAATGAGGAATGACAGAGATATCCTTGTGCATAGTTTACACAGTTGTTAATGATTGCCCTTTGATTGGTCTTTCCAGCAGGCTGCTCAGTGTTTATAGGGCATATTCATATTCAAACATCTTTATTCATTATAACTCATGTACATTGGTAGTACAGAGAATAGTGTCAAAATACATAAAATAAAAATACTATTCCTATTTCTGGGAGGGGGGAAACTCATCAATATGCCTCTTTTAGAATTTTCGTGACTTCGATAGGTCCATTTCTTTTTTTATAAGGGACAAATTTTAGAAAAAGGTTACCAGCATATGACGTTTTTTATAAAACATTGTATTTGTGAGGCTGGACAAACTCCTTCTCCTCCTGAAATTATGAGAATGCAATGAATTTATTTCTTCCTCTGATTCATTTTTTTGACGATAAGAATTATTTCGTAAATATATCCTACTAATATTATAAATGAGAAAGTTTAGATGTATGGATGTATGGATGGACGTATGTTTGTGACAAGTGAACGCGAAAAATACTGGTCGGATTGGGCTGAAATTTGGCATGATGATAGCTCACATTCCCGATTAACATATAGGCATATTCTTATTTCAAAAATCCTTTCGGGCTCCGCCCCAGTGGCTCTGGAGTTTCCCATGTTAACCTTATGAGAAATGGAATTATTGAATCTTAACAGCTGTTTCAATTAAACAAGTCGGTTCTGTTCTGTGATGTTCAATAGCATTAAAGTTACAAGGATTACCAACAGGGTGCAGCACTATTATTTCTTTTACATTTATGACAACAGCTAATTTGCAACCAAAAGGTGAGTGAGCGTAGCGAACGAACTTCAACCTGGAGGCGAGTTAGCGTAGCGAACGAGCTAACCTGAAGGCAAGTGAGCGCAGCGAACGAGCTCCAACCTAACGGTGAGTGAGCGTAGCGAACGAGCTCCAACCCAAAGGTGAGTGAGCGTAGCGAACAAACTTCAACCAGGACGTGATTGAGCCATGCGAACGAGATAATCTTGAAAATTAAGAAGTTAAACGGGGCAAAGCCCGCGGGTTACAGCTAGTTGCATATAAATTGTAAATTTTGTAATTTCTTAAAATGTTCTTTTGTCGAATAGTTTTGTTTAAGCTTAAGCATAATTCTAATAGCCTCATTTTACTGCTTCAGAATGCTATCCATATTTAATTTTTTGTTGACCCATACAATGCTGAACCGAATGCAAGATGAGAGTGAATGTGAGCAAAATATATGCTTTTTTGTCTACTATTGTTTAGCTAAACCCTTTTATGATACCAATTTTTGAACCCTTTGAAGTTAATTTTTAGGATGGCAAGTTTATGTTATTAAAAGGATCATTAGGAACATTTTCCATCATCAGAAATAACACAAATATGGAAAATGTACACAACCTTTAAAAATCAATTTTTAAGTATTTGTGCCGAAAAAAATCTAGGTTTATACTTAGTTTTTCTTTTTATGAAGATAGTATACGAGAAGTAAAAGTTAGTTAGTAGAGGTTGATTTATTCGTGTGATTCCAGGACTCAGTGAGAGGCCTGTTGAACACTCTCAGTCAGACGTTCTGCTGCTCTGGTAGTCTCATGATGTACACGGTCGGTCCGTTTGTCAGTTATGCAACCCTCCACTACATCGTGCTGGGACTGTGTGGTCTATTTTTCATACTGTTTCCCTTGCTTCCCAACTCACCGTATTTTCTTATTATGAAGAAGAATGACATAAAACAGGCTAGAAACACTCTTACCTGGCTGCGAGGATACAAGTCTGATTCTTTGTGTGAATCAGAGCTCCAATTAATTCAGGTGTGGTTGGAATAGTATTCAATGGTTCTCAATTAGTATAGGTATACAGTAGAGGTTGATTAGGGAGTGTTTCTCTCAATGCTCGGAAAGTTTTAAAATTATTTGTTAATGATTACCTTTCCATGTAACAGTTTAAATAAACATTTAAAAATATTGATCCTGTATATAGACAAATGTGTATAATAGTTCAATTGTTTAAGGTTACCATTAGCCAGAGTTTGAAGGAGAAGGGTACAATAAGCATGTTGTTCTCCACAAGTGGGAACCGGCGAGCTCTTGCCATTTGCTGCATTCTCCTATGGCTACAGCAAATCTCAGGGATATCTATCATTGTTTGCTATGCAGAGAAGATCTTCCAGATGACAGGGTCAACAATCTCCTCCAGCACATGCTCCATAGTGATTGGTCTCATCATGACGGTATCCGGCTTCATCTGCCCTGTTGTAGTCAAGTACTTTGGTTATAAAAAACCCCTTCTAATCTCATCATCTGGAATGGCTTTTGGAATGGTAAGTTCTGGCCTTATAAATTTTAGTTTGTCAAGTTTGGTTCTTGTTGAAATATATATATTTATTTTTTTGTTATCCCAGTTTCAACAAATTGAATTATATTTACCTTTGTTGTTGTTGCCTGAGTTCTTGAAAGTTAGATGTTTGTGTCACCCTTTGCATTTCACCAGCTTGTGTGGCATCTCCAGGGGTCTTGCCTCTCGCCAAGACTTCGCCATGTGTCTATCATCGCATTTTCCAATCCACCGGACCGCGATACTAGTGCCTGGGGTAGCGAAATGCATAGGGTAGGTGACACAAACATATTACCTACAAGAACTCAGGCACCACCAACAAATGTAAATCTAATATAGTTTTAGCGAATTTCCCATATAGGGAATAAGCTATTACCGTAGTACTCATGGTAAGACCTGGATGCGGGACCGATTTTTGTTTTTGTTTTGAGGTCCCTAGAGGCCAAAAACACCATCCGTTCAAATTCATATCTATATATATTTATATATATATATATATTAAGTATGATGGTGATTAGGGCTACTACTATATAAATAATCGAAAACATTAGTACCCTTTTAAATTCATTTTAATTAACAAACTAAACAAGTTTTAATAGTTATGTTTAATTTTGTTTAAACTAAACAAAAATAGTTTGTTAATTAAAATGAATTTAAAAGGGTACTAATGTTTTTATAATGTTTTCGGTTATTAATATACAGGGTTAGTAAAAAGTGTGGAGACCCCTTGTTATTTTTTAACGGCCCATACTAGAAAAACTAAACTCGGCACACCTTTATGACATGTTATGACGTACTTTTTGGGCATAACCGTCACTTTCTGTACATCCCCATAGTGGTGGATTTTGGGGGAAACTCAAAAATTTCAAATACAAAGACCCATCGAGTGACCCTTCATTTTGAAGGTCCTTGTAAAAGAAAACCAACAACGCAAACTAGAGGTCTTTATCTCAATCCAGTAAAAAATGGCAGCCAATTGAAATTCTCAGAAGTTGAATTTAACTTACAGCTTTCCAAGTCTGGAGACCCCCTGTAAATTTTGTAGCGGCTCACACTAGGAAAACTAAACTCTACACACCTTTTTGGCATGTTATGAAGTACTTTTTAAGCCTAATAGCCACTTGCTTACCAAACCCAAAATGGGGGATTTTGGGGGTAACTCAAAGGTTTTAAAGATAAGGCCCATCAAGCGACCCCTCATTTTGCCTGGTAAAAGAAAACAAAAGAAAACTAACAACACAAACTAGAGGTTTCTATCTCAATCCAGTAAAAAATGGAAGCTGATTGAAATCTTTAGAAACCGGAAATAACTTGCAATTTTATATTCAACTGGCTGCCATATTTTACTGTGTTAAGATAGAGACCTATAGTTTGCGTTGTTAGTTTTCTTTTATTATGACCTTCAAAATGAGGGGTCACTCAAAGGGGCTTATCATTTAAAATTTTTGAGTTTCCCCCAAAATCCCCCATTTTGGGTTTGGGAACTTATGAGAATTTCAATTGGCTGCCATTTTGTACTGAACTGAGATAGTTTACATTGTTGGTTTTCTTTTACCAGGACCTTCAAAATGAGGGGTCATTTGATGGGTCTTTGTATTTGAAATTTTTTAGTTTCCCCCAAAATCACCCATTTTGGGGATGAACAACAAGTGGTGCTTATGCCCAAAATGTACTTCATAACATGCCATAATGGTGTGCCGAGTTTAGTTTTGCTAGTATGGGCCGTTAAAAAAATAACAGGGGGTCTCCACACTTTTTACTAACCCTGTATATACAGGGTGACAAAAAAGTCTGGAAACGGCTTAATATCTTTTTAACTAAATCCGTTAGAAAAGTCAAACTTTTAACATCAACTTACATGTATAAAAACTACTTTTTCCAAGCATTTTCATGTTTTTACCTCCACCAGGGGACGACCCGTAAGGAGGAGGTACAAAATCTTTAATGTAAGCATAGGTTGATATGCACACCATTTTAAAGGTCTGGTCAAGTGGAGTTCATTGCCGGAAACCGCATCTCAAAAGGTTCATTCGTTACAAAATGGCGGCATTTCAAAGTTCTTGTGGAATATACCTTTACAGGCCTTAATATTGGTAAATACTCGTATTAAACATTATCTTGAGAGCTGAAATTGTATTTTAAAGTCAACTAGCCCATATACTAAGTTTATTCAATCTTCAAAACAAATTTAAACGGGTTTCAGATTTCCCGGCTAATTTTGACTATGAGTATTTACCATTACTAAGGCCTGTGCAGGTATATTCCGCAAGAACTTTGAAATGCCGCCATTTTGTAACGAATGAACCTTTTTTGACGCGGTTTCCGGCAATGAACTCCACTTGACCAGACCTTTAAAATGATGTGCATATCAACCTATGCTTACATTAAAGATTATGTACCTACTCCTCGTGGGCCGTCCCCTGGTGAAGGTAAAAAAATGGTAATACTTGCAAAAAGTAGTTTTCATACATATAAGTTGATGTGAAAGGTTTGAATTTTCTAACGAATTTAGTTAAAAAGATATCAAGCCGTTTCCAGACTTTTTTGTCGCCCTGTATATATATATGTGTCCGTTAGCACTATAACTCGAGCAAAAATGATCCGATTTTGATGAAATTTGGTATAAACGTGTAAACCTACATACATTCGAACGAGTTTGCGAACCACCAGCATGATCGGACTATGGGAACGGGGGTTTACGGGGGGGGGGGGGGGGGGTGGTTTTATGGGGTAAAAAGAGGTTTTTTTGAATTTTTTACCCAAAAAACATAAACTTTTGCAATTTCTTTCTAAACCATTTTGTAGAGCTTAAAAAACCAAATCATTTACTATAATGAAGCGTTGTTATGCGCCTAATGGTTACGGAGAAAATTCCCAAAAAATGTGTAAATTTAAAATTCCCATGTTATTCTTATGGAGAACAAGTAAACTGTTGTAGTTTGCTTGTTTATGGACATATTTTGATCAAATTTGGAAAATGTTTTTATTTCTTACTAACTATTAACATTTTACAAAAAAAACAGTTTCACCCTCCCTGATGCAGCAAACCTAGGTACTTGTTAAACTAATTCTATTTAGGAAATAAATGTTATATTTTTAAGTAGGTAGACATTTTAGTGTAAATCCAATCAGGCAAATGGAAATTCGCCTAGTCTGCAGGTTTGCTGCGGCGGGGTAATTTTTTTTTTATTATTACTCTGTAGTTAGAACTCCTAGCTCATCAAATATTATGTTTTTCAAAAACTGTTTTTAGCGAATTTCCCATATATGGAATAAGCTATTACCGTAGTACTCATGGTATACTACCTGGACCCGGGAACAATTTTTTTTTTCGTTTTAAGGTCCCTAGAGGCCAAAAACATCATCAGTTCAAATTCATATATATATGTGACTTCAACCTGGAGGCAAGTTAGCGTAGCGAACGAGCTAACCTGAAGGCAAGTGAGCGCAGTGAACGAGCTCCAACCTAAAAGTGAGTGAGCGTAGCGAATGAACTTCAACTAGGACGTGATTGAGCCATGCGAACGAGCTCACTTATAAAGTTAAACGGGCCAAAGCCCGTGGGTACAGCTAGTATACATATATATGTGTCCGTTAGCGCGATAACTCGAGCAAAAATTATCCGATTTTGATTAAATTTGGTACAAACGTGTAAACCTACGTTTATTTGAACAAGTTCGCAAACCAGCATGATCGGACCATGGGAACAGGGGTTTATGGGGGGTTTTATGGGGTAAAAATGGGTTTTTCCCATTTTTGGCCCAAAAAACATAACATTTTGCAATTTCTTTCCAAACTATTTTGTAGAGCTTAAAAAAACAAAAAATTTAGTATACAAAAGCGTTATAATGCGCCTAATGGTTACGGAGAAAATTCCAAAAAATTGTAAATTTAAAATTCCCATGTTATTCTTACGGAGAATAAGTAAACTGTTGTAGTTTGCTTGTTTATTAACATATTTTGCCCAAATTTGGAAAATGTTTTATTTCTTACTAACTATTAACATTTTACATAAAAAAAAAACACTTTTACCCTCCCTGTTGCAGCAAACCTAAGTACGTGTTAAACTGATTCTATTTAAATAGGGAATAAATGTGATATTTAAGGAGACATTTTAGTGTAAATCCAATCAGGCTAATGGAAATACGCTTAGTCTGCAGGTTTGCTGCGGCGGGGGTATTATTCTTATTATACTGAAGTAATTTCAGACTCAATATATCTTGTCTAAATTAATTTTTGTTTTTGCCACACTAAACAGTCAGCAGCTGGTGTGCTCTTTGTAGACCAGAAAGTTAAGTTTACAGAAAGGGTTTGGTAAAATCAGCTGCTTCTGTTCCCTTTCAAAAAGGCATAATATATGAGTTTCTTCAGTAGGTTCTAAATCCAAACGAAGGCATACAATAAATATACACATGTTTGGGCAGTCACATTGCGTTTTCACAATAAATGATTAAATACAGTATTAGAAAGATTAAAAAACTTAACCTTTAAAAAAGTTTGAAAACTGTATTAAAATATTGTGTTTTTAAGATGTATATATACAGTGTTGTAATTGTATGTAGGCTATCGTACAAGTTTTATCTGCACAGTTGTTTTGATGTTGTGTATAATATATTATGAACAACGGTAATAAATACACAAATAATACTAAGATGATCAAGTAGTACAGTAAAAGATAGCCTATCCTTAAATGAGTTAATGAAATTCATAACTATAAATAAAGTAATGGAACTTTTTTTACAGGATTTTCCTAAAGAGATTAATGTTGAAAGAGATATACCAAATAAATCAATGAGGAAGCAAGATCCTTTGGAAGTTGGTCTATATCTAAGAAAAACCATTTGTTAATTTTAGTTTTGTTACGTTGCAGGGAGGTCTTGGTGCGTTTTTCTTGCTTAAAACAAACCACTTTGAAATCGACAACATAACTTGGCTTCCTCTACTTAGTGTTGTTTTATACATCTTCTTCTTCAATATTGGTCAGTTAACACCAATGTTTCATATGCATCATTATTAGGAGTTTTTTTTTACATTTTTTCCTAATAGTCAATACATTCCACCTTTATTTAGGAACAATATTGATCAACCAATTAAATCTTTTTTGTTTATTTAAATCATTTAACACTCAGTCTCAAAACCTAATCTTTTCAAAGGGTCATTATTATGGTTTCAGGAAATAAGTAAATGAATAAGATTTCTTAGTCAGCGTTTTATTTTAGGTAAAGTTTTACAGTGAACATATGGAACAGTGCTGGAAATGGAAGATATATACAGGGTGTCTCACCAGAGGTGTCTCAAATTGATTACGGAAAAACCTTCAGGTTTGTTGAACGCCAGCATCTTCTATAAAATATCCCTCGGTGTTGAGTTTGTCATGGTTTTACAAAAAAAAACATGACAAACTCAACACCGATGGATATTTTATAGAAGAAGCTGGCGTTCAACAAACCTGAGGATGTGCCAATAAAAGGCATGAAACAGCTGTAGTTTCCTAAAACTACCGTAGATCGGAGACAGAAGCCAGGTAACATAAACCTTATTAGTGCTAATTTTAACAATCCAGTGGCCAACCATCACCAACATTAAGGCCTGTTAATATTTTGTATGTAATTGTTTGTAAAAATGTGTCAACATAAATCATAAATCTATCCAAAAAGCTTTCTGACTTATTCCACACTTTATTTTTTATGATGTATGTATAAATAGCACATAGTAAAAAGTTTTCAAAAAACATGCACAGATACGCTAAAAACGTGCCAATTTAAGTGTAATTTTTCCAATTTTTTGGGGGGAGGGCCCCCCCTGTATGATCCCCCCCCCACCACCCGGTATTCGGGGGTCCCCGACTACTCAGCTAGTTCACTTAGGGTTCCACGATTACCTGTCATTTGGGAAGCACTGAGATAGATGACCTAGTGACGAGAGAGATAAGAAAACCGGAACACATAAATAGACAAAGCTGAAAGCTAAACTATGTAACCTATATTGTCATAGTTATGAAATCGTATATATTTTTAGTATCAAGATTATAAAAGGCCTATGATCCATTTCCATTTATGCAAACATAGTTTTAAAACGGGTCCCGAAATGATTTCTGCTGGAGGCCCCACTATTGCTAAACAGTTCTCAACTTGATTTTTTTCCTGCAGGGTTGGCAAACATTCCCTGGGCCTTGTCAGGAGAACTATTCCCTAGCAATATCAAGTCATACGCTACGACTATCATCGCCTCTAGCAGCGGTGTTGTGGCCTTCCTGACAACCAACTTGTTCCCAGACATGGTCAACCTTCTCGGGCTGGACTTCTTGTTCATGTCTTGCTCCTTCGCATGTATCTTCACTGTGGTTTTTGTATCACTTGTTGTCCAGGACACAAGTGGACTTTCCTTCCAAGAAATACAACTCATTTTAAATGGAGCTAAGAGAAAAAACTTAGAAGTCAAACCATCCAGTATGAGGAATTGTGAAATAGTAATTAACTCAACGATCGCGTAAAGATCGTACATGAGTTGCTTACTCTTCTTTACCTATGATCGTTTGTAAAACTTCAGTTACCAACTGTAACTGTTGGTTAGCAAATTGTTTATTCTTTTTAGGTTATGTGTGAGTTTCCATTCCAGCGGAAGTCGGCAGATCAACAATTTAATTGGTCGCTACCAACTGATAAGTTGGCGTTTGAAGCATTACAATTTTATTTCTTTTCTCTCAATCCTTGAACCCCATTGGCTGGTTACTTTACCACACTAGTGATGCTAAGTAATCAATGCGGTAAAGTGTTTTCAATTCTAAAAATTGAATTGTAAAGGCTAGTTAAAAAACGGTCGTAGGTAAATTTATTTTTTGGACTTTTAAGTCATCTCCAACCATCTGTGATAGTAAAGATATGTCATTAATCTGTGTATTATTCAAGAAACAAAGTTATATAATTATGTGGTTTTCTTGTGAATAGAACTCTAATATACAGGGTGCGGCAAAGAACCGGATGTATTTTTTGCAGTGCACTGTTGAGCGACAGGTCGTCTGAGGGTGGTGGGGGTAGGCTCGTTGGAAAGCCTATACGATGCCATTATCTGTAGTCATAGAGTATAGTGGTCACCTGAGCAACACGCGTTTGTTATCGATCGAGTTGTTTTAAAAAAGTAATAAGTCATTGCAACTTATCATTTCCGTGCATTCTTTTTATTTGGTCGACATGGAGAGGTTCCGGTGCGAATATCTGTATGGATAATGAACAAAATCCAGCAAAATTAACAAAATTAATACGCATTAGTGTGTGGGGATAAGATTTAAGATCGAACCTTAAAACTAGTGTAACCGAGCGGTCAGACATTTTCAAAGCATATTCTTGTTTTCGGGCAGGTCTATGAGTACTTTTTTCCACAGCAGCACGAACTCTATCGAATGCTTGTCTGACGTCCGATCTGACTTTGGGCGGCTTGTCAGATTCTTTTTGAATGTAGAAGCCGTTGTTCTAAAAATGGTAACCCACTACATGATTGTGCCACTTGACGGAATCGACGTCACTCTAATTTAAAAAATGCACGGAGCCGCCGCTGAGTTGCAATTTGCAATGAATGAACCATTACTTTTTTAATTTGACTCGATAACAAACGCACAATGCTCAGGTGACCACTGCTCTATGACCACAGATAATGGCATCGTGTAGGCTTTCCAATGAGCTTAACCCCACCACTCTCAGACGACCTGTTGCTCAACAGTACGCGGCATAAAATAGATCGGTTTTTTTGCCGCACCCTGTAGTTATGTATATTCTTGTCAATTTAAGACATGATACTGAGGGATTTATCATTCTCATGGATAGGCTTTAGATATAGATATAGACATTCACTGTTCGTTTTGTTTGAATATGCTTTGTTACGTTAAGTTGGGTTTTCCTAGGTCCTAGGACTTTTGGGATACTGGGGTTGCCTGGCCGAATTCGATGTAGCCATGAAAACCAGGCCCGCAGGCAGCTAGTGGGTTGGGGTCTTTTGCCCTGAGCGGCAAGTTTTGGGGGGTGGGAATATTTAGGTTGTTATGTAATAACAACACTATACGATTGGTTATTGCTGCTTGTTGGTTAGTTGGATATTGGTTATGTGTAACAGTTATGTAATTTGTTTTAACTTATAACTATACAAAAAAGCTTATTTTGCATACTAAAGTAGTCTAGCCAATGAAATGAAAAGGGCTCTCAAGTAAGAAAATATATACATGAACGTGAGGTTCAGGGATGGGAGCGGCGGAAATGACTGCTCAAGGTCAAAGCCGTTTCTTGTATTTACAGGCGTGTGTACAGAGTAGAGTGCCAAAGTTTCTGTGCGTGCGGCCAGAACTGGTCAGGTTTAGGTGAGGGGTTGGGGGTTGGGAGGGTACTTTTGTGAAAAAATTGGTGTCTTGCTACTCAGTGTGACTCACTCACTCCTACCCCTGGCTCTGCCAATAACTGGCACCCCTATGTTTTAGTTCGGCTAGTAGTTGTAGCACGCACAGAAGTTTTGGCCGAACTGTACTCCTGATCCCCTCTCCGCTTCTTGTTGAAATCTATATTTTTTATGACATATATTTTTCTTAAATTGCTTTTATTTCTATCTGAAGTTGTCAACGCTTCTAACGATCAATAGTAGAGGCGGGTCTAGGAGTTTGTTGAGTAAGGTGATTTCCCAGCGATCGCGGGTGGCGAATATAATGTCCCCGTGATAGTGGGATATATTCAGATTTTACAGTGATTGCAGGCGACGGTGATGATGTGCCTGTGATAGCGGGAGATTTTAGATTTTTCCGTGATTCCGGGTGATGATAACGATGTCCCCGTGATGTCAAAAGCGTTGACGATTTTGCCACGACCGCGGGTGATGTTAACAATGTCTCCATGATAGTCGGAGATGTTCACAAATCACGATACAGGCGACATTGCGGGTAGCGATAACGATGTCCCCGTAATAGCAGGAGGTGATCACAATTCTTTGCATCATTCTTTTATTTTACTTCCAGTTTACTTTTTGAACTTTGTTAATATCTACCTTAAAAACACAGTAGAATAAAAACTTGTAAATATTTCTGACAATAAAAAGTAGATAATAATTTTGTTATAACTTTCCATTAAATCTCGTCCCGAAAAAAATCCCGTACCGCGGGAATTTAAAAAATCTTCCCTCGTCTCGTCTCGAAGTGAAAAATCCAGTCTCGTCTATCACTAATCCAAACTACTTAATGGTTTTTTCTGGAAGTCTTTCAATTATTTCCTATGAGTACATTTTTTAACTTTTACTACCAGATCTGGTATAAGGTCTCAAATAGAGCCGCTTAACACTTTTATTTTTCCTCTTGCAGGTACATTTAGGATTTTTTCTTTTTCCCAACAGGTTTTTTCTTTCTTATTTGTTTTTTTAATTTTTGAAGTCTGCCCTTTTCCCCCACAAAATTTTGCTTTAGTTTTTGTTATGTTAGTAACTGCCCAGGCGGCAGCTCTCTCACCAATACTAGAGTCTGAAGCTTTTACCCTTTCCCAAGCTAATAAGCTGTCAGCCACTGATCTAATTTTACTATCCTTCGATCTTGAGTATGCTATATTCTGGTTTTTGCATGCACCATCCAATTTATTTATGCCTGGAATACCCCTTGCTAATCTCTTCCTTAAATTCGTTCCAGGTCCACAGTCCTGATAGCTGGCTGTGTGAAGTTCTACAGGTAAAATACCCTGTGTCTGTGTACAAGAAGATTGTCTGTGTCCATACAGGGTAAATAAAAAGTCAAGACTCCCCCATCTAATATTTTTCTGAGTTAGGACACAGATAGTCTTGTGTACACAGATACAGGGTATTTTACTTGTAGAACTTCACATACACGTTATCAGTACTGTGGACCTGGAACGAATTTAAGGAAGAAAGAGGTGATCCAGGCATAAATAAATTGGATGCTGCATGCAAAAACCAGAATATAGCATACTCAAGATCAAACTATAGTAAAATATACACAGATACCCTTTTGGTGGTCGTGCAAACTTAGCACAAAGTTTCATTTTATGATTTTGAAAATTTTTAGTGTCCCCCAAAAATGAGGGATTTTGGGCTCAACTGGATATTACTCAATATATAAGAACCAATGTAATTTCACCCACTATCTATGAATAGTATATAGGCCTAAATGGCTGTGTTAAACATACAAACAAGCCATCGATGTGTTAAAAAAGTTGTACTTGAAACCTGTCTATGAAAATTAAATTTATATGCATGCCATAAACTAAACTTAGAATCACAAGATAAGAGCCTGCTGCATTACTGGCCAGTCGATTCAAATGAATTTTGCGGCGTTGGAGTAGTCTCAAAATATGATAAAATATTCAAATTATCTACCCTTGTTATTGCTGTCCGTTGCATGACCGCAACTGTTGTCTGTAAATCAATTTTTTAAGAAACAATTGGTTCAGTTTATGGTGGCAAATGAAAAATACCTCATAACATATTTCAGTGGTGAACACACAATTTATTGCAATTAATTGTAATATTGTATCATATTGAAGGACAACAATATATATATCATATTATTTGTCAATTAATTGTTTTATTTATCCTTGTATTTATCCATTTTTATTGATAATCTATTTAGTATCAGCATTGAATTATTCTAGCAGACTACACAAGAGTAATACAGTAGGCTACAACAAAATTTACTGTACAAAAGATATAACTTTGAGTACAACTCATTATTTTGGTGTTTTTAACGTAACATTAAAGCCAGTGTAGTTTTAAGATTGTCATTAACTATTGGAAGAAACCAAACAGTACCAGACCGTCCCCTAAGGATCTCTGGGAATAGTTTTATTCTACAGGGCCCACTTAAATTTTTAGGGCATTTCCCATATAGGGAATAAAGCTATAACCGTAGTACTCATGATAAGACCTGGACCCGGGGCCGATTTACTTTTTCGTTTTGAGGTCCCTAGAGGACAAAAACACCATCCGTTCAAATTCATATAAATATATGTGTCCGTTAGCATGATAACTCAAGCAAAAATTATCCGATTTTGAAGAAATTTGCTCCAAACGTGTAAACCTACATTTATTCGAACGAGTTCGGGAACCAGCTTGATCAAACTATGAGAGCGGGGTTTTATGAGTCAAAAATAGGTTTTTCAAATTTTTGACCCTGAAAATATAAAATTTTACAATTTCTTTTCAAACTATTTTGTAGGGCTAAAAAAAACTAATAATTTAGTATATTGAAGCGTTATTATGCGCCTAATGGTTGCAGGGAAAATATTAAAAAAATTGTAAATTTAAAATTCTTAAAGAATAAGTCAACCGTTGTAGTTTGCTTGTTTATGAACTTATTTTGATCAAATTTGGAAAATACATTCATTTCTTACTGAACTACAGTATTAACATTTTACAACAACAACAAAATTGGACCCTCCCTGTTGCAGCAAACCTAAGTACTAATTAAACTATTTCTATTTAAATAGGGAATAAATGTGATATTTCTAAGGAGACATTTTAGTGTACCTAATAGTCTAGGCGCTAGGCCATGTCCCCTAAGTTTTGTTGTGGGGCTTTGTTTAACACCTATGGGAGCTAAAAAAAAGTAGTCACGTGGTTCAGGTCGTGGTCATTTGGCCACCATATTGGAAAATGGCCAACAAATTGCTAGATTATTTGCTATTTAGGTATCTCCATACCCAGTGGTCCAATTTTAATTTTGTAAAGCTCATTTTACTCCTTATCCGATGGCAAACAAACTTTTTCATAACACGTGTTTTGTTAAACTCTTTCCGACTCCGAGTCTGTTAAACTCATCTACCCAACCGATTTTCATAATTTTGGTCTAAAGCTAAGGGTATGCACGCACAAATTTCCT